GGGTAGGGATATATGCAGATGAGCTGCAACACAGCATTGTGGTAGCAAATGGGGAGGAGGAGGAGAATGGGGGCAGGAGAGGGATTTCCTTCTTGGATCCCAACCAGCTAGTCTGCTCTATGATTACATCATGATTATGTCTGTTCTGCAGGACTGGAAGGTGCTGAGTTACGGTCACCGTGGGGTTGGGGGCAGAGGTGAGGAGGGGCAGGGAGGCAGCCGGGCCCTCCCAACTCATACTTACCTGGCAGGGGAGACACCATGATCACTAAGGTGGTTTTCCCAGGGCGAGGCTCATCCATTGCACTCCGGGTGTGCTGACCCCTGCGATTTCCCCAAATGCGGGAAACTCGACTGCATAATTTGTGGTAGTGGGGGACTGCGTTCGCGCTTTCCCCTGATTTGCTGGTTCAAAAGACAGAGAAGTTGTATCTATAATTTCTTGTTTATTGTGTGTTTCATGAGTTGCATGGAAAAGTGATGGACCCTAAGATGGTGATAGTTTCTTCCCTGCAGTGTCTGCCTAGTTTTCCTAAAGATTTGTGAAAGAGCCTAGTCTCTGTAATTTCATGCCTCAAGAATCTTTGCATAAATTTTTCAGCAGCTAGGGAAATTGGAGAACTGGAGAAAAAAAGGAAGAATAAGAAGGTGTGCATAAATTCTCACCAAATACTTTTTGTCAGACTCAGTCTGCAGTTTAAAAAAATAGAAAACCCAGCAGAAGTTGTCAATAGCAACAGTTCCCTCTCTCTTCGTGAAGAAACCAACTAAGAAAATGATTGTGTTGCACAATATTGTGTTGATTCAAAGATTCACTGAGCAGTGAATAGAAGTAAAATACCTCAAAAGTGACATTTGTTTAACTTGTGATTTGTACAACCAATTTTATTCCAGAGGGAAGAAGAGGAAGTGAAGAAGGTTCTCTGCCGAATCGGAGCACATCAAGAGATCTCGACGGTCCCTCCTTGCCCTCCTGGAGCACCAATAGAAAGCCTGCTTACATGCCAGAGGAGTGACGATTGCAAAAGGACGCAGATAGACATGCAAATGATGGCCTGTGAAGGAATTGTGGGATCAAAAAACGGGGGGCAATCCGAGCTCTCAAAGTACCCCAACACTCTGTGCGAGCAAACTGGGGAGAGGCAGGATCCCGGCTGAGCCTTCCCGAGCTTGCTGGAAATTCTCCGGGGGGAGTCACCGTGGGGTTGGGGGCAGAGGCGAGGAGGGGCAGGGAGGCAGCCGGGCACTCCCAACTCATACTTACCTGGCAGGGGAGACACCATGATCACTAAGGTGGTTTTCCCAGGGCGAGGCTCATCCATTGCACTCCGGGTGTGCTGACCCCTGCGATTTCCCCAAATGCGGGAAACTCGACTGCATAATTTGTGGTAGTGGGGGACTGCGTTCGCGCTTTCCCCTGGTTTGCTGGTTCAAAAAACAGAAAAGAGAATTTGGTTTCTTGTGCATGTTTCATTTGTTATTCCAGTACAGAAAGCACTTTTCCAGTGTTTGTTTACTGATTGTATAAGTTGTCCTTATCAAGTAGGAATCCCACTTGGAGTTGAAAGTAGATTTAAATTTATGCTCAGTTGGGAAATAAAATAATAAATGCACGAAGACTTTTAGTATCTTTGTCATCCAAGGGGAAGGAATTATGACCAGGGGAAGAGACTGGGCTGCTGATAGATTATTATGCTGAGATCATTTATGCTTCAAGAGGAAAACATTCTAGATATTTCAGATGCAAAGTAGTGTGTCTTGATGGGGTTATGTGTTCTCTATTTTTCCCTTTCAGTTCTTCAGTCTTTTAAGTTATTCTGATGCTTTAATCCTTGCATGGCTGTATGAGTATTATAGAAGAAAGGTAGCATAAATATAAATTGCACTAGACCTCTTAATATTTTTAGCTAGAGATAAAGGAATCCAAAAGGGTGTGAAAAGGGAGGGCAGACGTGTCTGTGTTCTATTTCTGAACATTTTGGACACAGCCTTTCCAATAAATGGAGCTGCCTCTTGAAGGACCTCATGGGGTTCTGTTGGACTCTTGTGAAAAAAGAGCGTGTATTGATAAGGGAACGGGTCGAGTCTCCGAAGTGATAGTTCTTTGAAGATCAAAGAGAAATGCTAGCTGGTTTCAGTTCATTTTCCTCTTTTAGTAAACAGTCCTGTACTGAAATGCCTCTGTGAGAAAACATAATAATCCAAAAGAACCGGGTTGTTTAAGAGTGATCAGGTTACACTCTAATGTGATCAAAAAGTAACACCTGCCCAGTTGATAAGGATGCTGCTGCTAGTCAGAATGTGGACCAGATTTCCTGCAGGCTACAAAGAAAGAATCCTAGTGACATCCCCCCCCCCTTTTCTTTATTGTGCCTTAGCGTGACTGAGTGATGCAAGCACGCATGCAAATATATGTATTGCAAGGCATTGTGGGATGAAAAACGGGGTGCAAATCCAAGCTCTCATAGTACCCCAACACTCTGTGCGAGCAAATGGGAGAGGCAGGATCTCGGCTGAGCCTTCCTGAACTTGCTGGAAATTCTCCGGGGGGAGTCACCGTGGGGTTGGGGGCAGAGGCGAGGAGGGGCAGGGAGGCAGCCGGGCCCTCCCAACTCATACTTACCTGGCAGGGGAGACACCATGATCACTAAGGTGGTTTTCCCAGGGCGAGGCTCATCCATTGCACTCCGGGTGTGCTGACCCCTGCGATTTCCCCAAATGTGGGAAACTCGACTGCATAATTTGTGGTAGTGGGGGACTGCGTTCGCGCTTTCCCCTGGTTTGCTGGTTCAAAAGACAGAAAGAGCTGCCTACTTGTTTTCATTGATTGTTTGCTGTCATTTAGCTAACTGATTCTTTTTTTGAATAGTTGCATCTCTGCTTTGGGTTGTCTGTTATGTCTTCATCGCCCTTCAGGAAATGTAGTTTCATTCCTTTTTGTGTCCTGTCCTGTCACAGATATAGTTGAAGAGTCAGAACTGCTATATGTTGATGTCAGAACACGAATTCTGCACACTTTATATATAGTCTTATAGATATGGATGAGTGTTGTTTATTTTGGGCACCTACTCAGAACCTCCGTGATTTGAAGCATGAATGAGGCTTATTTTCAGCCCATGAGCTGCTTGCCTTGCTGTCCTGAAATGGCAGGATTGAGCCTTCTGTGAGAAGCTCTTGTAGTAAGAGAGAAGGCATAGGGAAGAGATCCTGGCTCGGAACAGAGCAGAAGAGGGGCCATGTGCAACATCACTCCCTAGCAGTAAGTAAAGTCAGGTTGCCAGTGGGCCAGACGCCCCCCTCTCCCCCCGGCCAGTTTTAACCCAAATTCGAGCTTTTCTATGTAGGTGATGTCTAATCTAGAGACTAGTGAGGACCATTAACCAGTGGAACCGCTTGCCTTCAGAAATCGTGGGCGCTCCATCACTGGAGGTTTTTAAGAAGAGACTGGACAGTCACTTGTCTGAGATGGTACAGGTTCTCCTGCTTGAGCAGGGGGCTGGACTAGCAGACCTCCAAGGTCCCTTCCAGCTCTATTCTATTTTAGACTATTTTAAAAGCCTGCTGCTGCCCACGTAGCCCCCATCTAGGAAGTAAATGGGTAGCGCGGACTCTAATTTTCTCCGCTTACGCATTCTTGCCCTTTGCATCACGTTGCTTACCCCGAAAGGGAATTGTGCGATAGATGCGTATCTGTGTAGCCACGTAACCGATTTATGAATGGGCGACCTTGACTCAGGATGCTCCCCCTTCCTGGCGATCTGCTGGAAAGACGGGAACAGAACCTCCTTCCCCGAGCGGGCAACCCGGGGCCAGCCGTCTCGTGGACCCTCTGCAGCCCGTTCGTAGGAGGGAGGTAGACGGAGGTCGGGAATTCGTGGACTGGGCATCCGGTCGGTGGGTGTTGGGGCCCAGGCGGCGGGGGTGGAGAGGCGGGGGCTCTGGTGCGGCAGAGGA